TTTTTTCTTTCGTGTAATTCAATGTTTATATGAAAGTAGCTGTTTCAGGAGGACTTTCTTTCAGTTTGTGTCTGAAAGTTACTTCTTTGCATGATCTACACATCCACGTATAGTATTACTTATTTTAAAATCAATTACTTCCTTCCTTTCCTAAGAAGATTCCCTTATCCTTGTTTTCAAGATGGAGTAGTAGAAAGCCAAAAACTTTTTTTCCCGAAAATGAAAAGTATTGCTAGGAATCATTTCTATTGGCCCGGTATAAACGCTGATATTGAAAGTTTGTCTAACTTATGTAAAAATTGTTCAGTTAATAAGTCAAGTCCAGTCAAACATAAATTACTTCCCTGGAAATGGCCCGTTGAAATTTTTTATCGAATTCATATAGATTATTTTGGTCGATTTCTGGATTATTATTACTTGATTATATTCGACGCACATACAAAGTGGACTGAAGTGTTTCCCACAAGAACAATGTCTTCAAGTTTCACTGTGAAAGAACTCCATTCAGTATTTTCACGTTGTGGAATACCTAAATATGTGATGTCGAATAACGCAAAAAATTTCACAAGTGGTGAATTTCAAATATTTCTGAAAAGATATAATATTACGCATATTACATCTTCTCCATTCAATCCTCAATCAAATGGTGCCGCAGAAGTAACGGTAAAAACTGTTAAAAAATCCTTACAAAATGCTCTAGGTTCAAATAAAAACATCGATATTTCTACAGCACTAAATGATTTTTTGTTCGATTATAGAACCTCTGTTCATTCAACAACAACTAACGTATAACCTTCAATATTAATGTTTGGCCGCGATATACGTACAAAATTCGATTTATTGAAACCTCCTATAGACGATATCAAAAAAAGAATAGAAAAACAAATTAAACATTTTGGTGGGAAGGAAAGACCAACATTTAATATAAATGAAACTGTTATCGTAAAAGACTATCATACAATAAACAAGGTAATTTGGATACCCGCTGTGGTTAAAAAAATATTAGGTAAATGTACATAATATAGTTTTTGTTCCCGAAATCAATCGTTTATGAGAACGTCAAACAAACCAGATATTAAAATCAAATGTCTCTCGTTTACCAATTCATGACGATTGTGAAGATGCAGAACAAGATCATAAAAAATCTGAAATTTCTGAAAGCGGCTGTTCGACTTTTGTTGATAAATCGAGTACCACTGTAAATATTTCCAACTCTAAAAACTAGGGTTCGACAAGTAGTACTAGTGAAAACTTTGAAAGGCCAAAACGTGTTATTAAACCACCTGATATACGTGATGTATGTTTATTATGTATAATATTTATATTTTTTACTTGTGTATAATCATAATTGTATTTTTCAAATTATATAACTTGATTAGAGAGGGGAGAGTGCTATGTATCATACTGTAAAAGTGTTTGCAAATTGGATTCTTTCCCCTGTTTTGTTTTATGCAGTTTTTTATGGTACTTCCTTTTTTATATTCTATCCTGTACAAAGATAAGAGAAGAATATTCTCGCAGGGAATGTATAAGTTTTATTCACATTAGAGTAATAAAAGTTTATGGTAGTGGTTGTTCATATTAACTACCCTCATCAACCCATAAAGAGCAAAGTTTATATCTATTGAAAAAATGGGATGATCAAGGGTGTATGTTGGTGGTATTTCCCGTGATACAGAAGAATGGGACCCGAAATACTTTTTCAGAGGATATATGGAAGAATAAGAAAAATTCTTATCAAAAGGGGATTCGCCTTCGTGAAATTTGATGGCAGCAGAAATGCCAAAGACGCCATATACGAATTGGACGGCAAAAAACTTCTGGGAGTGCGAGTGACTTTGGATGCGGCAAGAGGAAAGCCCAAAGGTCACGATTGGTCGCCTTCGACCAAGGACAAATCAACCAGAAGGATCGACGGAAAGAGATTACATAGTCGTTCTGAACTTCCATTTTCTCGTGGAACTTCCCGCTCATATAGTCGCAGTAGGAGTAGATCCAGATCGAAGTGTGGAAGTGACCAACTGGCCAGGAAGTCCGGTAGCCCTTCCAAAAACCGTTCGCATGCTTAATCAAGGTCGCCTTCGACCAAGGACGAATCATATAGAAAGATCAACGGAAAGAGATTACACAGTCGTTCGAGTGGGTCGGCCTCAAGTTCTCGTTCAGGGAGTGAAGATGCTAAGGATAAATATTCTGATGGCAGGTCACGAAGCAGTTATAGGCGCAGTTCAAGCCGGTCAAGATGGAAGTCCAAATGCTCGTATCGGTCTGTCAAACGATACCGAAGTAGGTCTGGGTCGCACACATCAATCAAACGCTTTAAACCTAGTTCCTGAATTACTTCCGTTACTTTGTAATAACTGATTGAATGTGTGGCGTGAATATTTCCTTTTTGTGTATTATAAGTTGACTGATTGTACTGATTTTAATAAATGAATTTCTATGAAGGAGCTTTTTCAGATTGTTTTGAAATTATATTATCTATGCACGTAGATGTTTGTGCAGTTACACGAGTGTATTTAAGTTGGAAATGTGGGATTGAATCAGACATTTGATCTATATTTGAATATCCCAATTGAATATTTTTATGTTTCTTCCGAATAACTGAGGCAAAGGAGCATCCAGGTTTGCATATGACCTGTAGAAACAAATAATCAACATAATATCAGATTTAATAATACTGTCACAGAAGTCGTAGTCCAGTTCAACATTATAATAATTCAGGTCTACAATTCGTGGATTCGAAGTTTTTTTACAACCGATGGCAACCCCACCGTGATAATTTTAAAGTATAAANTAAGAATATCAAAGTAATCATATATCATATAAGAACAAATATATAATAAATAATGTAAACAAAACAAAAAATCCTAAGGTCGTCACAAATTTATTTTAGCAGATTCAAACTAGGGAACATGCCGTTCTTTTGGATTCCGTCCTGTAGAACACTGAATAACGTGGATATACAATTATGCTTTTTTATATCGGGAGAGAGAGATAGAGCAAGCTTCACCTTGACCCACCGATTAATTGGAAAAAATAAACGTTTGGGTAACAACAGAAGAATGTTCATTACCATTATTGATGATTGTACTGACATTCTTTCAAATTCGAATCAATAAATGAATTTACAAAGTCCGAATGCTCGTATGGGTCTATCAAACGATCCCGTTGTAGGTCTGGGTCGCACGCATCAACCAAACGCTTTAAATCTGGTTCCTGAGTTACTTCCGTTACTTTGTAAAAACTGTCAATACTA